ATTTATATATATATATATTTATTTCAATTCCAGATTTTAGTTTCTGTTTTGGAAATGTTTATCTTGAAACCTATTTCTTGGAACATTTTGGTAAGTAATGTTGCTTTTTTGTTCGGGATCATCCCTATTCCAAATAGAATACCGATTAGCGTATAGGACCACATCATGTATGCATTCGCCTCTGGACGAAAAATAGAATCAATGTCTTTTAGTTGATTCGTTTGGGATGCGATATGGAATGCTTTAATAATCAGTGCCCATCGCTTCACATCTAAAAAAACATTAATCAATTTAAAAGATAATAATCTCAATTTTCTAAAATCAAATTATACTATAAATACTGTTTGTGTGTACACATGTGTGTGTGTGTGAAATGATGTGTTTACATTATCTGAACTTATAGACGATTTTGGAGACCAGCGACCTAATCATGTTTCACAGCGATATCACAGACTTTGCGTTAAAGCCATCTTTTTCAAAATTTCAATATGCAGTCCATCCATTACATGATGAAAATGATCTAAGGATTTGCACACAAATCCTCCTGTAGATGGGTACACCCCTCGATGAATGAATTATACCATTCTAATACCTTCCTTTTCCAACTCATTATTTTATCATGCATGTTCCTTCAGATCGTCTCTAATTCCTCTTCGCTCTTGAACAGGAGTAGAACTTCATTGTGTTTTCCGATCCTTCTAAAATCTACTTCAAATCTATACATCTAATATCCCCGCCTAAACTCTCAACTTCTATTTACTATTAATTTAATATTTCCCTCAATATGAGTAAATGGGTTCGCCTATCGTCAGCTTTACACTAATCTCCCGTCTGTTGAACAGGAGTAGATGTTTATCCCTTATTTCCTGTTTAGGATTAAATTTAGATTAGTCTTTTTATTATCTTTCACTGTCAGTATCCTCTTGCGTCTTAGTGGCTTTATAACCTTGCTAGAGTTAAATTGATTAAAAAACAAGCAGACAAAAAACGATGATGCCTTACCATATACTCCTTTATATAAACCGGGTATAAAAACAAAATTTTCCTAGTGTTATATCTTAGAAATGATTAAAGATAGCTTACTGGAATTCTCCGAGTTTTTGTAACACTATTGGACTCTACTTTGAACAATAAAAATGCATTTAGCTCTAAGTTAAAATGATTATCCCTCTTCCTGTTGTGACATCCTGATCCAGTTTTCCTCTCTACTGTTCCCTCTGTTTTAAACTTATTCACCATTCTCTTGATGATTCTTGAATGGACTTTGAAGATGTAAGCCAGAGTATGAATGTTGATAACATTACTGGATGCCTGAATGATCTTTTTCGACTCACCATTACGCATTTGGGAAGACATGGTTGGGCTGACACAGAACGATTTTAATCTGTCCTCTTTCTATCTGAATAACTCAAAGGGTTTTTCCATGGTTCTTACGACAAATGGAATCAAGATGGCTAACCGTTTTATCTAAAAACCCGGAAAAAAGAAACTTTTTTCAGATATTAAACATTTTATGGGATGGACAAATACGTGCTGTTACCCGATTTGGGCAATTTTGCTGTTAAACCAAGTATATATTCATTTACTTGTCTGGAAACTGCTATGATTTCTTGCGAAATATTGCGATGTATTCTCATTCTACTTCTATGTGTCATTTCCCTTCAGGGCGTAGCCGATTATATCAGTCCATTGCTTACTGTTCTTTGTAGGCCTGTTTGTCTACTTTTTTCATAAGCTCGTTAGGATTTTCTCTGTCCCTCTTTCATTCGGTATGCCTTGTGAGTGTCTGATTTTCCAAACCCTCCTTTCTCATCATTTGTATCTTTATTTTTCTGATACTACTAAATGTCCTTCTTATTTTCATTTTCTCTTTGCTTACGTGTCCAGTCCATTCTCGGCATCCTTCTGCACGGTGTTTGAAATCAGGTTCGTCATCCAGGTGCGAATGCTATCAACGCTGGAGAGCGACGTCTGATACGTGCTTTTTACCCATTATATTTATATGTCATGTCTCTTCAGAACGTTGATGATCAATGTCCTCTACAGCCTCTTTTTCTTTATTATCTATGAATTCCGCCTGAGAGAACTAATGAAGTAGGTTCCTATTGCCGTCTCTACGGTTTTGTATTTAGAGTTTCAATTCACCTAGACTGGCAACCACCCAAGACTAAAGAGTTCAGTCTAACCTGCTATTTAATACATGGCTGGGTGGAGAAGAGGCAGATTTAAGCTGTTGCCAATGGCATTTGCGCGGAAGTGAACGCATCTGAACGCAGCCGGAATTTGAACTCGGTTCACCGAATTCATTTTACGTGCCAATAAGCGTTACACTTTTTGCACATCCACATGCTCATCAATTTGCTCTTCACAGCAACAAGTTTGAGGTGATTGGATTTATGCTCCTGGCATGCAAAAATCTTATTACACAACACACCTCTGTTTGTTCACTGTTTTATGGCGGCAATCAACCGTTCGATATTAAAGCTGTTCGGGCTGTTATAAGAAATATTGCATGCCAACCACCGTTGCTTTGAGCTTACAGCTTTCACAATCATTTCATTCCGATTGAGTTATATCTCTCTCTGTACGTAGCTTTACGGGCATACCTTAAAGTGTACTTACTGCTTTCCTATGTCTTATTTTCGATCAGCTTCGTGACTTCCCCAGTGTTCGAGTTTTCTTTCCAAATTGTGTTCTGAATGTTATTTTTATTAAAAAACACAATCATGAATTGAATGCTACTTTAAAAAGTGTTTAATATATTGGCCGTGTTAAATTTTTTCTTTAATTTAGTATTGAATGAAAAAAAAACGTAAGAATTAGTAATGGCTAATGGTATCTTTTTTTTATTTAAATAGGTTATGAAATTTGATGGAACTATCCATATGCACTAATACAGGAATATACATAGTACATCTTACTTATTATAAAACGCAGATTGTGTGTGTGTCTGTACGTTTATATATTGGATCGGATTTCCTACATTTTTCAACCGATTTCAACAAAACTTCACAGGACTGCGTAAAATTACCTTGCGGTGGTTCTGACTGCGCCAAAAATTGGAAAAACACAATTGTTTTGTCACGAAATCAATTTGAAAACACGATAAAACACGATTTTGTCGCCAGAATGAAAGGGGGACAACTCATATCGAGTTATACTTATTATAAAACCCAGATTGTTTGTGTGTGTGTGTTCGTTTATATATGGGATCGGATTTCCTACATTTTTCAACCGATTTCAACAAAATTTAATTTTTTTTTTTTTGGCAGGTAGTGTTTCTTATTGTCTTGCACACTTTTTCTTTATTTTTACATTCAGGGTGCTTTAAAAATTCCATTTACAAGACAATTGTTTATAATAAAATTCTATTCAATCGGTAGACTCATAACGATTGAAAACAATGTTTTTGTTTGAGTTTGGGTTTGGGTTTGACTAATTCGTAAAAAAACAAAAAAAAAACAAAACAAAAAACTAATTAAGACATGCGTGCCCGTCAACCTTAAACAATAATCTTTGTCAATTTTATTTTTCAGTCTTTATGATGGTCGATACTTGATCTATCTCTTACTGTTACATCCCCGGGCAACGCCGGGCTCTACTGCTAGTGTCTAATATGAGACTAATATTTACGTAAAGAAGAGTCTGCAATTTAATCAGTCCTGATCTGGCATCTAGACTTCAGTCACATTCGCTCTGCTTTTTTTTTATAAATCCTTTCATGGCAATTGTTATGATGAGCTTTCTACCTTGGTGACTGAACTGAATGAATTTAAGAGTACTACTAGGTTAGCGACAAAGTCTCGCCGTTTTAATGTTCAACTAGCTAGATCTAAGCGCAAGTTCTATTCTAACAGTTTCTTCTTTCGCACTTCTCGCCTGCGGACCTGTCTTCTGGTTTGCTACTTTTCCACCGCCTACAATCTACGAAGATTTAAATGCAACGACAAACTCAGTTTTCTGTTTATCTGAAACCAGTTCATTTATTGTTCTTTCTTCTCACGAACATCTTGTTATTCTCTTTCACACCCAGTGACCCCTTGCGTCTAAGTGGCATTATGGTATTGATTGGGGTGAAATTGTTAACTAAAGAATAAAATATGATAACTAAGCGTCTAAGTTCACTCCATACCTCAAATGGTATTATATATAGGATAATAATAATAATAATAATACTCTCGACACTTTTTGCCATATTTCATTTGGATCTGCTCAATTGTCACTTTCCAGCCTTAGTAAAGTTCAAAATCGTTCACACAGTCTTGTAGGCTATTACTTACTGTCCAATCTGCATCCTTTTCCCACAGACATAATGTTTTAAACCTCCCGATACCATATCGCTACAGCTATAGTAAATGTTCTTATGGACTTCATACTTTAGTTCCACCAGCTCTGATATTTGCATGACTGGCCATGCTACATCCATATAGTCGAATCACCCATATTTCCTCCCTATTACAATTGTAAAGAGGTAGTTCCATTCAGAAAGTTTTTCCCAAGAACTGCCGCCTTGTGGAACACACTCCCGTCTGGATGCTTCCCTGATCTCTTCAAACTTAATCCAGTTAAGGGTCAGCCGTTATCTATCCTCATTATACTCATAATATTCACTGCTTATTTCCTTGTTTTGCATTCATATCGCACATAATCGGTAACACTCTACCTTGAGTGTCCCTTGGGTCTTGTATTGGGTGTAGCAAAAATGGTTTTTTGATTTATCTCCTTTCAAAATGCACTAAGAACGTAGCACGTTTTGCTAGTCACTGGCTGAAATCATGGAAGTGCAAGGGAGATAAATAGTGTAAAAAGGTGTCAAACTATAGAAGAAGGAACGCGCTTGAATGGTGTCAGAGAATTACTTTTCAAAGACAAACACAGAAAAAACCGACAGAGAAGAATAGAGAGTAAAAGAAAGAAAGAAAGAAAGAAAGAAAGAAAGAAAGAAAGAAAGAAAGTAAAAAGATAATGAAAGAAAGAAATAGAAGAAAGATAAAAAGAAA